GAGTCTCTCTATGTTGGGCTGTATTACTGTTATAGCAATACTCTGTATAATTGGGTACATATACAATGGGCGTACACTTTACTCATTCCTATCGACAAATCTTTTGTATTTAAAATGTGTGTTATTGTTATTAATAAAATATTTTTATAATTTGACACGAGATGTAATTATTTCCACGATATGTCCAGTAATAAGAATTAATTAAAATAATATCTGAATTGTTTAATTAAAGTAAAAAATGTTATATATAAATATAAAATATACAGTATAAATTGTTTAACTTTTGTGAATTTTTTGTACTCAAGGTCATAGCATTATAGGTCGTTGGATTCGTCTTGACCTCAAATATCCTATTGCGATAAAAAAACAGCTTCATTTTTAAAAAATTCAATAACCTTGATAATTTAAAGAATAAACTTGAGGAGATCCTTTTGTCTACCGCAATATTTACCTTCTTGAATCAAATACTTTTATTCTCTGATATCTTTCCATTACAAAAATGGATGAGATATTTTGGATACTCAAATTAGGTAGAATAACCTGTATATAGTTAGTGTAAAAATATGTATAACGATTCACTTATATATGTGACGCGATTATAATAATTTTTTGTGTAATATTTAATCCATAAAATTATATATACATACTTATTTGTTAAATAAAGTTTTCATCTATATTATTTTTAAAATATTACCGCGCTTTTCTACATTTTCAATTTTTCGCACGCTGGGCGAAGCATTCCCTGTAACTAACAGAGTTTTACATCAACCTATGAGTTAATCAATGATTTAGAGACAACCAACATATACATGTATGTTCATATGTACATAGTTTTGTTTAGTATTGTTCTGTGCCACACATAAAGTGAATTGTGTGATCTAAAGTCAAAAGTTTAGATTTTATGACATAAAACGTTTCAAGTGTGACACCAAATTTAAATTGTACTAATTGATATTTTTCTCATTTAATCTACATTTCATAAAAAAACGGTACAATGTCTTATATGTTATCACACCTTCACAATGGATGGCAAGTAGATCAAGCAATACTTTCCGAGGAAGATCGAGTAGTTGTAAGTTTTGTTATAGTCTATTAGAAATTTTGCTCATGTATGGATAATTGTATTGAATTAATCTATGATTTACACTATATTGATGTTTGTTTAGGTTATTAGATTTGGTCATGATTGGGATCCAATGTGTATGAAAATGGACGAAGTTCTATATAACATTGCAGAAAAGGTTAAAAACTTCGCTGTCATTTATTTAGTTGATATTACACAAGTACCTGACTTTAACAAAATGTAAGTTTCAGAAAATTAACCCTTTGAGGACGAATGTCGATATTGCGATGACATCAGGACTGCATATCTTATTCTAGAACAAACATAGAATTTGATTATATATATATAATAGAAGATTAAGATAAATTGTTCATTTCTTGAATTTTTCAAATCTTTGATACATAATCTAGCTTTTCGAAGAAAATATTCTTAGTATTCTGAAAAATCCTCGTCCACCTTTGTGGACTTAATCCTTTGATTAAGTGTTCATAAAATAGTATTTAAAGTCAAAAAGTAATTGTCTTAGCTTATAGTCTATAACAATACTCTTGAAATAGTTATAAATTTTGCCTTTTACAGGTATGAATTGTACGACCCTTGTACAGTTATGTTTTTCTTTAGAAACAA